AACATGGCATCGCATGCCGAGATGTCGAGATTCACAACAACGTCATGGTTGGTGATGTAGCAAAACTTGTGAAGTAGCAGCAATAGAGTTTGCTGGTACCGAAGATAATAAAGATGAAGTCGCTCCACCATGATGACAAAGTTGTGTTGCCGTGATGAAGTGAACCGGTAGTGAAGACGCGCAGTTGTGAAGATAAAAGCACCAGTCGACGGCGGCATAACACAAGTCGGCGGCGGAAGACGATGATGTCCATCAGTAGTGGTAGCTGTATAAACCAGATGTAGAGGCGAGGGCACTAGTCAGCAGCAGGCGAGACGACCGGCGATGAAGATGGTAAGGCCAATCAACACTGGCAGAATCATGCAGCCATGGAAGTGAAGAAACCAGTCGGCAGCCATGGCAAACGTAGGCAGCTTGTGTTGAAGATACTGATGCCTATTAGTAGTGACAGCGATGTAGCCAGCCGTGAAGAAGATAGAATCAGTTGGCGTTATAACAGGCCAGCCGTGCAGGCGGTGATACCAGTCAGTGGCGGATGCGGCGGCCGGTCGGTGAAGACGTAGACGCCCAACAACGGCAGCATAATAGGTCAGCCGTGCAGGCGGAAACACCAGTCGGCGGCGGTCGAGGCGGCCGGTCGGTGAAGACGTAGACGCCCAACAACGGCGGCATAATAAGCCAGCCGTGCAGGCGGAAGCACCAGTCGGCGGCGGACGAGGCGGCCGGTCGGTGAAGACGTAGACGCCCAACAACGGCGGCATAAAGGCCAGCCGTGCAGGCGGAAACACCAGTCGGCGGCAGTCGAGGCAGCCGGTCGGTGAAGACGTAGACGCCCAACAACGGCGGCATAATAAGTCAGCCGTGCAGGCGGAAGCACCAGTTGGCGGCGGACGAGGCGGCCGGTCGGTGAAGACGTAGACGCCCAACAACGCGGCATAAAGGCCAGCCGTGCAGGCGGAAGCACCAGTTGGCGGCGGACGAGGCGGCCGGTCGGTGAAGACGTAGACGCCCAACAACGGCGGCATAAAGGCCAGCCGTGCAGGCGGAAACACCAGTCGGCGGCGGTCGAGGCAGCCGGTCGGTGAAGACGTAGACGCCCAACAACGGCGGCATAATAAGTCAGCCGTGCAGGCGGAAACACCAGTCGGCGGCGGTCGAGGCAGCCGGTCGGTGAAGACGTAGACGCCCAACAACGGCGGCATAATAAGTCAGCCGTGCAGGCGGAAACACCAGTCGGCGGCGGTCGAGGCAGCCGGTCGGTGAAGACGTAGACGCCCAACAACAGCGGCATAAAGGCCAGCCGTGCAGGCGGAAACACCAGTCGGCGGCGGCGAAGGCAAGCCGGTCGGTGAAGACGTAGACGCCCAACAACGGCAGCATAATAGACCAGCCGTGCAGGCGGAAACACCAGTCGGCGGCGGCGAAGGCAAGCCGGTCGGTGAAGACGTAGGCGCCCAACAACGGCGGCATAATAGGCCAGCCGTGCAGGCGAGGACACCAGTCGGCGGCGACGAAGGCAAGCCGGTCGGTGAAGACGTAGACGCCAAACAACGGCGGCATAATAGGCCAGCCGTGCAGGCGGAAACACCAGTCGGCGGCGGCCGAGGCGAGCCGGTGGTGATGTTCTGACTGATCCATTCCTGGAGCGTAAGAGATAAGCTTAAAGCCATGAATCCCTTTTATGCATATCTGGATCTGGATCCTGCAGAACAAACATATAGGATGAGTAGTATCTGATATAAATATAATACTCGAGAAAAAATCAAGTATTTTAAAATATTTATAAATATGTATTTCTCCTCTTGTCAATTTTGATTTCCCCGAGCAGATGACTCCATACGTTTAAACACTCTGCCCGACTAGTCATAGTCCCCAAGCATCGGGAGTCGGCCTAGGCATTTCCCAAACATGCATATGAGTGATATGAGTTCGTCATTAATGGAACAAAGTTTCACGGATCAGAATTTACTACTCGGGTACTTTTGCAATTATTAAGAGCAGAAAATAAATTTATCTCATCTCTATGCTTTTGATTTATTCCGAATAATACTTAGCACCTTGCGTTACTCGGTCCATCCAACGAGCCCCCGGGTGCTAGGAATCGGCCCAAAGGCAACCATCCATTGGCAAACCAAACGGAAAGCATAGGAAGATAGAACTCCATAACTCGATAGGTACTTTTGTACTCAGATTATGTCGCAAGCAATCAAGATAAATATTATAAAAAATATGATATAACATCTGTAGCCCCCGACTCACTACTCAATGGAAGACCAATTGGTGTAGTGAGGCAGAGGAAAAGGAAAAATATCATATAAAGAATAAAATAAATGATGACTTAGCTTTGTAATATTCCCCTTGGTGATGGCAGAAGTGGCCAATGTGGGAACAAAGTCGTCCATCAATAACAATGAAGACACCAGTCGGCGGCGACGAAGGCGGTCGACGGTGAAAGCGAAGATGCCCACTAATGGCGGCATAATAGGTCAGCCGTGTAAGCGGAAACACCAGTCGACGGCAACGAAGGTGAGCCAACGGTGAGGATGTAGACATCCAACAACGGCGGCATAATAGGCCAGCCGTGTAGGCGGAGGCACCACTCGGCGGCGACGGAGGCAGGCCGGCGGTGAAGTCGTAGACGCCCAACAGCGGCGGCATAATAGGCCAGCCGTGTAGGCGGAGGCACCACTCGGCGGCGACGGAGGCAGGCCGGCGGTGAAGTCGTAGACGCCCAACAGCGGCGGCATAATAGGCCAGCCGTGTAGGCGGAGGCACCACTCGGCGGCGACGGAGGCAGGCCGGCGGTGAAGTCGTAGACGCCCAACAGCGGCGGCATAATAGGCGAAACACCAGTCGGCAAGAGTAGTGCCGCGGCGTTACATGCAAACAGCAGAAAATACCAAGAGAGATTAATCTGACATTTAGAGATTAATCTAATAAACAACAATAAGTTGAAAAGGAAAAAACCCGGCGAAGTCGGAGATTAAAAGGAAAAAACTCGCCGAGATTGATCTCTTCGACTGACTCCGAGACGGAGCGGAGGAGGCGGAGGTCGCAGTCGCGGGCGGCGTTGGTGTCCATCAGCACGACGCAGGACGGCAGGAAGGCATCGGCGTGGCTGCAGCCGTCTCCTATGCATCCGATTAGATCGGTTTTGGCATGCTTCGTGTTTGTAGATCCATCTTGCAACACCATGGCATCCTCGTTGGGTAGATTGGACCAGTAGGCTTGGTGGTGGACGAGGACGACCATCAAATCCGTCGAACTGTCGTTGCCCCGTCGTTGCCGTCGTGCTGATGCGAACAAGATCAGGCAGAGAATAGCAGCGACGATTCGTCTTGTTGAAGTCGTCGGCGGCGAGGAATCAAGGAGCTCCCAAAGCGAAGACGAAGCCGGCGACTCATAAAGTTGATTCCATCGCACTCGTCGTCAGGAAACTCGGCGTTTGCCCCTACCTGGCGCGCCAACTGTCGAAACATGATTTCGGCAATAATAAAAGGGGGTAGCGCACGAGACCTAAAAGTGGATGGATGCGGAGACAAAGGATTTAGACAGGTTCAGGCCCTCTCAATGAGAGGTAATACCCTACTCCTGTTTGGGGATTTGAATCCGCCGAGTGTGTATTGATCTGACGATCAGGTTGTGCCTCATGCCCCCTAGAGGGCCTCCTGCCCACCTTATATAGGATGGGGGGCAGGATTACAAGATAGAAACTTTAACCAATACGGTATCGGTTTCCTAAATCAGGACTTTAGGCCGTTCCGTAATATACAAGGAAACGTAACACCAAGGAAACGTAACACCCAAGTCATGATCTGTTACATATTACATAGATATAAGTTATCCCCTATAACTAGTCGGATAACCATGCCGTGTGGGTATGGGGTACCCATAATCTCCACAATGTTCAACGGTAGAACCCATATAGACTCTTAGATAATACTCCTATATGTTTTTTTAAGAGACTATGCCCTTACAAAATTGAGATAACAAATACTCTAAACCATTTAATTAAAAAATATTTTTTATTACTATTTTTCCTTGTTCACACCCTCATGCAACGAAGTTTTTATTTTATAGAGGTTATTAAGAGTTGTTGTAAGCAGTTGTAAACCACCTCTTCTCGCTTCTCTCTTCCATGTCCGTAAACGTTCCTAATTAGCAAGGCTAAGAAACCCTTATTAATGATTATTGTGCATGCCCTTAAAGTTTTTGGAAACCAAATTTAGTGGCGGTGTTGGAGGCGGGGTGATTTTGGGTCCAACCTTTTAGATGGCCCGATCCAATATATTTCCTGGAGTTAAATTCTTTGTTGTAAAAGACTGGAGTTCTTCCTGGATTATAGTAAAAAGGAGATAGAAAAGTTACAAAAGACCTAAGGAAACTACTTTCCAAAGATAAAAAGAGAGGGAACTGCTAGCGGCTAGGCATCCACAAGTTACATGCAAAGTAATCTTACAAGGAATAAATTAGTATTTTTGTTCTATGCATTGAGAGAGGAGCAAAGCAATGAATATTGTTATGGGCAACCTTAAGCTTTAAGCTAGATCATAAGAAATAAAAAAATATTTTATGACTTTGCAACACATATGTCCTCAAAATAAAGAGAAAATATCGTGTGAAAACGAGCTAAGTGTTGGAAACATATGAAAATCATCTCTAAAAGTCTTGTAAATTCATAAAAGAAATATGTGTAGATATAAAATGCATTTACACCAAATCTTAAGTCGAAACTCAACTTCATTTGAGAGAAAAAAATTAAAAAACTTCGGATGGATAGTGTACTGTAACTATTCACCCGAATTTTTTTTTGTTACTCATAGATAAACGTTACCTTATATATTTTCATACGGTGGGAGTATTACGTATTTCCCATGAAGGCGCTATCCCCTGTGTTTACCTCTGATGGTCTCGCGACTGCGTACAAGTAGCCCGACTGCCCGAGCTTAACTAATCAAACGACATGTCATGCTGCCCTTGTTTGCAAAGCAGCAGTAGTAGACAATGTCAGGGACGCGACTACTCTCCTGCTACCTTCCTCCAAAAGACCATGCATATCTTTCGACAATAGTACATAATAGTAGTATATTTATGTGTAAACATGTAGGCAAGTTTATATCTGTAAACATATAAGTTTTGGTCGTCATGTTCCGGCACAGCTCAGCAGGTGTCGTCGTTGCCACCACGTTCTTGATCAGTTACCAACAGCAGCAGAGAGGGAGGGAGGGTCGGAGAAGGAGAGAAAGAAGAAGATGCCTTCAGACCACCACCTCTGATTCTCTGCATTATCTTCTTCTGCTTCTTCTTCAGTTCTTCTTCCTCCAACGCCGTTGTGTCTTTTTCTTGGGCCGATGCAGCATGAGAACTGAGCTGAATTGCGCTGCTGGTCCGTCCGTGTCGCCGTCGGTGTCGCGGGTAGGGTTCTCCGTCTGATTTGCGGAGGTGGTAGCTAAGCTTCCTCTGATCTGAAGAAGAAGGTACTGTTCAGGTCTGAGCTGCAGACCTCAATTGTTCAGAATTGTTGTTTGTTTTTGTTTTTTTGGTTTTTTTTTTTTGGGGGGGGGGATATGTGACCTTCTTGGCGGGTATAATTTCACAAATTTGAAGTCATAATTTCTGCTTTCAAAATATCTATTATGTATTGGAGTTCGTTGTTGGCAAATTGCAAAAGTTTTATTGATTAGCATTGTTCTTCCATAGTTCCCTCAACAGCAAAGGAAGCTTCCATCCAATTGGTCTGGGAGAATCTTTTACTTTGGGAGACATTTTTTTAGTCAGAAGACGTGTTGTGATCGATCGAATTAGAAGATTTGTCAAGGTTGTTAGGTTTGTTTATTTGAGCTTCGTTTTTTATTTCATTTAACCCCACCTGGATCTCCTCCCATTTTTCATAATTTGCTGAAATTTAAGCTGTTTTTAAAGTAAAGCATTTTGGAGCTTTGCAGGGATACAGATGTTTTTCTTTTCTGGTCGAAGAGTTTATAGGAACATTTCTGTACCATCTGTAACATTGAAATGTTATAGTTCCATGATGTTGCTTTAGACCAAGAAATGTTAATGAATTAGTTACATTTGAAAGTTGACTTGAAAGTCTTCAAGATCATGAAGCAATGATATATTTGTATGATGTTTTCTGAAAACTTTTTCTGTTCTAATAATTTGTGAACATTTGCAGAGTTGCAATAGTAGACACGATGAGAACTCTGCTCCAGGTGCAACCCGGCGGCAGCGGCGGCGGCAGCGTCCCTCTTCCGCCCACCCCGACGGTGACATCACCGTTGACTGGTGGCTCGCCGCCGCCTCCGGCGACCTCGTCGTCCTCCACCCCTCCTCCACCTTCTTCTTCCTCATCCTCTGCTCCGCCGCCGCCTGCTCCATCGTCTGCCAGTCCGCCGCCACCTTCTCCTTCAGAGCCACCGCCGTCGCTTCCACCGCCTCCGCCGCCGGTGGTGACTTCCCCTCCGCCGCCGGTGGCGGAGCCTCCGCCTCCACCAACCGCATTGCCTCCCCCGCCGCCGTCTCCCGTACCGACGCCCTCCCCTCCGCCTCCCACAGCACCGCCCCCAGCGGACAACGCCGCGCCACCGCCGGCGCCCACGCAGGCGCCGCCGCCGCCCGCTCCCCCGCCGCGAGCACACGCCACTCCGCCTTCGTCAAGCGCGGCTCCTCCACCCGTCGCAGCGGCGCCGAGAGCGTCCCCCGCCGACGCGCCGCCGCCGCCGCCGCCACCACCACGGCATTCGGCGATGGACTCCGCGACCCCGCCACCTCCGCCGGCCCGGACGAGCGCAGCGACCACGACGCGCTCTCCGGCTGAAGCGGGCAGCGGCGCGGGCGTGCCGGCACCGCCCGTCAGCGGCGGGCTGAGCTCCGGAACCACCGCGGCCGTGGTGGTCGTGGTCGTGGTCGCCTTCCTGGGCCTCGCCGGCATGTTCGCCTGCCTGTCGCAGCGGCGGAGGCGGAGGCAAGCCGAGCGGTACTACCCGGGCTTCGCGGTGCCGTCGTACACGCCGCAGCACATGTCCGGCGAGGCCCCGTTCCTGCGGCCGCCGTCGGCGTCGGGGTCGATGAACTTCAGCGCGGGCCAGAGCCAGGGCGTGTCGCCGATGATGTCATCCGGGCAGGCGTACGGACAGTCGACGTCGTACGGGCAGCAGCAGCGGTTGACGTCGGCGAACTACAGCACGGGGAGCCAGGGGGGCGGGGCGGCGAGGAGCGTGGCGGCGTCGGGCGAGCTGAGCGTGGGGAACACCAAGGCGTTCACGTTCGACGAGCTGTACGACATCACGGCGGGGTTCGCGCGCGACAAGCTCCTCGGGGAGGGCGGGTTCGGGTGCGTGTTCCAGGGGACGCTCGCGGACGGCAAGGCGGTGGCGGTGAAGCAGCTCAAGGGCGGCGGCGGGCAGGGGGAGCGGGAGTTCCAGGCGGAGGTGGAGATCATCAGCCGCGTCCACCACCGCCACCTCGTCTCCCTCGTCGGCTACTGCATCGCCGAGGACCACCGCCTCCTCGTCTACGACTTCGTCTCCAACGACACGCTGCACCACCACCTCCATGGTAATCAAACTGTTCGACCAGCTCCTTCGTGTAGTGTACAGCTCGCTTGCTTACGTACCAGCGGCGCTTGCAGGGAGGGGAAGGCCGGTGATGGACTGGCCGACGAGGGTCAAGATCGCCGCCGGCTCAGCACGCGGATTGGCCTACCTGCATGAGGATTGTAAGAAGGATTCAGTTGGGTTATGTCAGTGTTTTGTTCTGTCGGAAATCCTGATGTTAATAATTATATTTGCTTTCTCTTGGAACTTTGTTTTGTTACTATAGGTCATCCAAGAATCATCCACAGGGACATAAAGTCATCAAACATCCTTCTTGATGAGCACTTTGAAGCTCAGGTGTTCTTCTAACTGCAACATTTTTCTCAACATTTAGCTACTGATGTGAAATGTGCTATATATATGTTTCAGTTATACTGATGGAGCTTGACTGCTGTGTGTGTGTTTATGCCCAGGTGGCAGACTTTGGGCTTGCCAGGCTGGCTGAGAACGACGTCACCCACGTCTCGACGCGTGTGATGGGCACATTTGGGTAATGTATTCCTGCCGGTAGGCTGTAGGAGTTTGTCACAATCACGTGGTTAATGCAAGGCACTAGTGTTGATTCTGCATTTCTGCTGAATTATGTACAGGTACTTGGCTCCAGAGTATGCATCCACAGGAAAGCTGACCGAGAAATCGGACGTGTTCTCCTTCGGCGTCGTCCTTCTGGAGCTCATCACAGGCCGGAAGCCTGTCGACTCGTCCCGTCCCCTCGGCGATGAGAGCCTCGTGGAGTGGGTAAGTGTTGGAGTTCTTATTACAGGATCTTAAGCTTTAGTCTACAAACAATCACCTCTTGCTTATGCAGAAATTAATTGATCTACTGACCTGAGAATGAAGCCATTGCTGTTCTTCTTTTCTCTTCTAGAGATGCCTCACGAACCCCTTCTAGTGTCTAGATCGATCAGACGATTGATTTAGGGTTTAAGATTAGAGAGAGATCAGTCATCATCTGCCTCCTTCCTTCTCTTTCTTTATATAGGCGACACTGGTGGGGCTCGGGGGTTATCTCAATTAGTTTAGAATTCGTTTTCTGTACCGATCACACAAAAAAACGAACTTATCTCTTAGTTTGTTTCTTGTTAGGATAAGAAAACCGGTGGTTTAGATCCTCTCCTAACCCTTATCGACACAAGTCGACAAAATCAACCAACATTCTCCCCTTGATTTTGAGACTTACTTACGAGTCTATTAAATAAAATAGCTCCCCAAGGCAATATGTCTTCAACAATATTATGCGTCACTGAGACAACAAGACCTATAGCTCACTATAGTACTCAAATAAACTCAAGCTTAGCTTAGTGGGTGTTGATTGAAAAATTAAGTCCCCCTCATCTAGGATCTTAGTAAGGCTCTAATTTACATATGTACTGGCCAGAACATAATCTTAATTAATCTTAATTTATCAGCCTTTAGAGTATGGATCCATTAGCAAATGCTTAGCTTAATAATTCGATCCTGGGACATATCTTTCACAACCATATCAATGTGTTAGGTAGAAAACACACAACATGTCGCTACTAGAATAGAAAACTGTGTTCAATTAGTGCACAACTTATAACATAGTATATTTTGGGTGGTTTACACCTTTTGAGTGGTTTATGAGCGCTATTTACCACTCTTAGTTCTGGGAAATATTCTTATGATTAATCATAACATGCTTTAAAATCTAACTGCATCGTCGACTATGCAGTAAGAGATTATTTTGGAGCCTTTCTATGGTTATTGCTCCCCTATGTGTGGACATAGCTTAATCTTAGTTAACTTAATAATCTTTATAAATATCCACACATCTCACAAAATAAGTGTCCAAATGTCTCTAAAGTTCTGATATCATTGGACTTTAGAAATATGAGCATGTTACTTAAAATTGTTTTGCAGATAATACAAAACATTCTTAATACCAGTGGTCTAGTCTGGATTTAATTAATACTGCCAAGATTCCCAGTAAAATGATTGCCAAATCTGTATGCATCCAGATTTGAGCTAATCTCAAGCTTCTGTCAGCTGAGTCTAACTTTAGAATTTAATCACAGCTTGACTAACTTTAACCGAATTCTCTCAAATTATTTCTTTAATTTATATCAATGTATGACTTACTGATATAAGCCCAGTACTCCTTCAGACCAAAATAATTCATGGAAAAAATTCCTTAGTTCTAACAGCAATATGGATTGCTTGAAAATAAAACACTCCAAGAAGGTGCGCGTACGGGAAGACCGACGTGGCCGCAAGGAGGTGAAGTGGCGGCGATGCCGCTTCCGGTGTAGGGGGCTTCAAACGGCAAGTCACCGAACCCGAGCCTAATTTTCTTCTTGGATTTAATTCGGACTTTGTGACTTAGGGTTCTTAGAACCGAAATTAGGGTTCTTCGAATTTTGGAGATTTCTTCGAATTAGGGTTTCTGAGGTGTGGATTTTGGGAATTTCAATCTTGTTTATCCCAAACTCCTCTTTTCTGAGCTTAATAGTTGGGGAAAAGTTTAGGAATTTCAATCTAGTTTATCCCGTCTTCCCCAATTTTCTTCTTAATCCACTGCTAGCCAAAGCTTATTCATGATGAAAAACTTAATCATGTAAGAACAATAGATTAATTAACCTTGCAATAGGCCGAGTAGATTAAAATAGTTAATTGGGGATTTTCGATCTGACTTGACCGATCCTCCCCTCTAATATCTGGCCGAAACCATAGCTTCGGTCTGGGAATTCTTTGTGTGAGAATTTGGGAATTTCAATCTCGTTTATCCCAATCCTCATTCTTCTCTTAAATTCTACTGCTAAGCAACAAAATTAAATTATTAATAACTTTGCTTCTTCTACTGTTGGCCAAGACCAACAGTATAACATGGCTTAATATGCAACCAAGACTTAAAAAAATTAATCTAATCTAATTCAAAATTGTTCATGCCGAATCAATCTTGAACCCTTTTAAGGATGGCTTCTAATCACAGGGATGATGTGATTATGAGGGATTGAGTGGACTAAAGATCAGCTCTGATACCACAATGTTGGAGTTCTTATTACAGGATCTTAAGCTTTAGTCTACAAACAATCACCTCTTGCTTATGCGGAAATTAATTGATATACTGACCTGAGAATGAAGCCATTGCTGTTCTTCTTTTCTTCTTCTAGAGATGCCTCACGAACCCCTTCCAGTGTCTAGATCGATCGGGCGATTGATTTAGGTTTGAGATTAGAGAGAGATCAGTCGTCATCTGCCTCCTTCCTTCTCTTTCTTTATATAGGCGACACTGGTGGGGCTCGGGGGTTATCTCAATTAGTTTAGAATTCGTTTTCTGTACCGATCACACAAAAAAACGAATTTATCTCTTAGTTTGTTTCTTGTTAGGATAAGGAAACCGGTGGTTTAGATCCTCTCCTAACCCTTATCGACACAAGTCGACAAAATCAACCAACAGTAAGCTCCAGCACCTAATATCACCACCGCGTGCGAATCTCATAAAACATAATTCCTTCGTCTCAAAATAAACCAATATAGGATATAATTTAAATAGTATAACAAATCTGAACAGATGCTTTGGAGATATACAATTGTACTATTGGTGATTGGTAAGATTGGTAACATGTTCTTCCTAACCATACTACTACTCTTGCAGTCGAGGCCATTGCTGAACCGTGCAATTGAGAACCAAGAATTCGACGAGCTCGTCGACCCTCGCCTCGATGGGGAGTATGATGATGTTGAGATGTTCCGCGTGATCGAGGCAGCTGCGGCGTGCATCCGGCACTCAGCTGCGCGGAGGCCAAAGATGGGACAGGTACTCATGAAAGTCCATTTTGGCACTAGCAAAATCTGGCAATCGGAGATTGCACTTTGCAAAATCTTGCATATTGCTCACTGCCATTGGGATGTTTCTCTGTCTCTGTTTTCAGGTCGTTAGAGTACTTGACAGTTTGACGGATGTTGACCTCAGCAATGGTGTGCAGCCGGGGAAGAGCCAGATGTTCAATGTCGCGAACACTGCCGACATCAGGCAGTTCCAAAGAATGGCATTTGGCAGCCAGGATTTCAGCTCGGAGTACAGCCAATCCAGGTCTAGCATGAGCAGCAGGAGAGACTTTTAGGCATGAAAGAATCTCCGAACAATTTCATAGTTTCACGATTTTGTTTGTGTTGATATCTTCATTTTTCTTTGAGGGACTTTGAATTGAATTCATTGTCTTACTGTTTATTCGTTTCTTTGTTGTTTATGTTGATGAAATCGATATATACACACGATTCCATTGGTTGATTTTATCGACTCACTGTCGATATGGATTAGGAAGGGAAAAATCCCGCTAGTTCCCTTTTCTAACAAGAAACAAACTAAGAGAAAAAAAATCTGTTTTTGTGTGATTGGTACAAAATAAGTTCGAATTCTAATTGGAGATGAACATCTGAGCCTCACCAATGGGACTATAAAAGCAATAGGAGGAGAAGCAAAGCCGCAGAGCGGACACTCGACTTCTCTATGAAACATTCTAAACCCTAATCACCCGATTGATTAGACGCCAGAAGGGGTTTCGTGAGGTATCTCTTGAACTGGTCGGCAACGAGCGTCAAGATCGTTGTCGGGTCAATAGTCAGAGGTGTGTAAGTTCAGAAGGGGAGAAATTCAGAAATTCAGAAATATTCAGAGAAAGAAGGTTCAGAAAAGGGGGGATGCATCTTTCATTTGAGTAGTCTGAGGAGCGGACAGCTAGTATGGATTCATTTAAAACTTCCCGCTTTATCTAACAGCGTGGACTTTTACCATGTACGATTCACAGTCTAAGTTTTGTCGTCGCCTACAAGCGCGACTCCTTTACTCGATCTGCTTTTCTCTGATTGGACTATGATTCTGAACCTGTTTTGCGTGATGTGACTGGGAGTATAAAACCCAGCGTCAAGGAGAAATGAATTAAGAAAAAAAATATTACAAGTCTCTTGGAATAGCTTAGAATGCTAGTTCTTCCCAATCTTGCGGTGGCCACAGATTTGAGTGAGAGAGCGGGCGATCCATTTCAGACTCTAAATAACTTGGATCTGACATCGGTGCGCGGATTGGCCTACCTACATGAGGATTGTAAGATGGATTCAGTTGGGCTATGTCATTGTTTCGTTCTATCAGAATTCCTTATGTTAATTTGTTGTTTTTCCTGGAACTATGTCTTGTTATTCTAGGTCATCCAAGAATCATTCATAGTGATATAAAGTCATCAAACATCTTGTTTGATGAGCATTTTGGAGCTCAGTTTTTTTTCTAACTGCAACACTTTCTGAACATTTAGCTACTAATGTGGATGTGTTGTATGTTCAATTACTGATGGAGCTTGACTTCTGTGTTGATTGCTTAGGTGGCACACTTTGGGCTTGCCAAGCTGGCGAAGAACGATGTCACCAATGTCTCGACGCGTGTGATGGGTACATTTGGGTAATGCATTCCTACAGGAGTACTGCAACATTTAGTTTTGTCTGAGAATGTACAGTAATTCTACATTTCTGCTGAATATGTACACACAGGTATTTGGCTCCCAAGTACGCATGGAAGCTGGCCGAGAAATCAGACATGTTCTCTTTCGGCGTCGTTCTTATGGAGCTCATCACAGGTTGGAAGCCTGTCGACTCGTCCCGTCCTCTCGGCAATGAGAGCCTTATCGAGTGGGAAAGCTCCAACACTAGTGCCCCAAGTGACTGCAAATATCTCCTCAGAGATGCACAATTTTACCATGTGATGTTGGTGTTTGGTGATATGTTCTTCCTGACCATACTCATACTCACACTAAAGATTTATGTATTCAAACAATTTATAATACAACATATTCATTAGCACATAATTTGAACGAAAACCCCTAACATAGATAAGCTGCATTAACATTAATTCAAAATTTTATGTGCAGCTTAAAACAATAACCAAGAGAAACTTTCAACAAAAATTCGAGTTTTTTTTTTGCTCATTTTGAATATTGATAACATAATAACATACATTATTTTATTAGATTGTTTTATTATATCCTTGTCATGATTATTGTTTCCAAGGATTCAATACCCATTATTTTTCTCACCACCAATACGTCATTGTTGTTATTACTGTTTCAAAAAATCTGGTACCTATTTTCACCTTTCTTAAAGGTAAATGCAAGCAAATTTGTAATCGGGCTTGTGGCATTTATATTGCATTTGTGGAATGAAAATCCAACAAGTATAGATGTAAGCATAAGCATTCAAACTAGCACTAGTTTCAATACTGTATATTTACTTAGTTCAAGTATAAGAATTTAAGTGGTTACTCTGTCCGTCCTTTGTATTCCTCCACGTTCGGGTATGATATAAGAGTGCGTAAATGCCGTAACCACGCTGGCAAACCAATAGGGAGTGGTCTCTCGGTAGTACCTGGGTGCCTAGAACTAAATCCTATGTTGTAAGCATGTATATGTGTTAAGTGTATACTAGACATGATTAGTATAGAAGTATAGAAGTACAGTTGTATCATAATCTCTAATGTTCTTATCCACTATGCTTGCGGATTTATCTATTAACGTAAGAAATACCAACCGTCGTTTCCTCCTCTCCATCTCCTTCTCCTCTGTTGCTCTGCACGCCATCAAATTCTTGGCCGATATTGTTGGTGGCGACGAGATTCCCCTCCCCACTTTCTTCGCCGGCTCCCACGTCAATGTATGCACAGATCTAAAGCAAAAACAAAAAGAGAAGTAAATCGGACAATGATGTTGGGCGCATGGAGAAGGGTGGAGGTGTGAGCTAGTTGGCGAAGAACTACTCCTCTGCCGCCTCGCCCTCCACCACTTTGTCACCACCTCTCCCTCGACGTCGTTTGCCGCTGTGGGGGATCATTCAGCTCCTGGAGGTGGCGGAGAGGAAGACATGGCAGGCGGGTCCCACTCTTTTTTAAGCTGACTGGACCGCCACATGTGCACCATGTATGATCCAAATCCGCTTTGAGTCAAGTTAGGGGATTTATTCATCCAGGTTAGAAAGTTTGGGGTATGAAATGTTTGGTTTTGTACTTTTTTTTGGGGGTTGGGGGTAAACCGGACTGACGCAATAGTTAATGGGGGTAATTCGTGTTTTAAACTTAATTATTTAGCCGGTCGACCTATGTATATTTAAAGTAGTTTTAATCTGAATTTTAATTCTTGTGTATGCCTTATTTCCTGTTTACCGTTGCTTTATATGAAAGTGTGAGATTAGTCATTATGCTGGGAACTAGTCTAACACGAGTATGAATTTTGAGCAATAGAGATGTTGTAGAGTATTAGCAATTTGAGTTAAGTCTCCTGGGATGTGTAACACATTTGGTTGTCGCATTCGGGTGGTTTGATGGGCACATCTCAGGCTGAAGTTGACTAGCACGCTGAGTATGAACAATATCTCTGCTTATTATTCGGCATTGCAGATTTTATATTGAATAGTGTCAATTCGTACCATAGACACATTGAGATATAAGTGGCTATTTATGTGTGTATGGATTCCACTAATCCAAAATTATGTGGTGCACAAATGACACTGGACGGTATAATTTTCGAGTGCTATATAAACATCATGTGCGCAACGAATGGAATACATTATAGCTTTATGAATTTGGACAGCGGTCTGTCCAGATTCGTATTAGTAGAATATGTCTAATCCGATCATAGGTTACGATAGTTTATATCTTTTTCTTTGAAATTCCTATAGAACAGATAATTCTATAGAAAATTTCAATCAAAGTTAGTAAGAGCACTAACTTCTTGAAACTTTTCTTTCAATATATCTCTTATCCGATTCGTATGGTTTTTTTTTTCTATGGTCTAATTTCTATATTTTTTTCCTGTATGTTATAGTCTTGTGTTTTACTCAGGGAGCGATACATCCGATGCAAGACAAAAAAAAATCAGATGCTCTTCACGATGGGGTGCATGTTGCTCTGATTGTACTTTGACACTTCTTTTTTACCATGTGCATCCACCGTTGACTAAAGTAGTACTATATATTTTCTCTCTCATGCATGTATATAACAACCTTCTTGTAAAACTTTAAACCATTTTTTCTCCTAATTTATTTATCCAATCTACGATTCAATTATACCATTATATTCGTTGTAATTAAATCTCTATAATAGGATCTCACATGACTATATTTTGATAAAGAGTAATTACATTTCTAATTAAAACATTTTTTTTATCATGCATGAAACATTAAGTTGGAACAAGTGAACCATTACAAAATACTTGCTAAAACATTGTAGAACACTGTACAACAACTACAAATCAATTAGTGAGATATCAGAAAATATTTATTAAAACACCATGTATAACTAAAAAAATCCAAAATCTTAAAAATGTACAATATAGTTAGTAGAATTCCAACTGAAACATTCGCTTCTTCCATGTGAAACATTTTATTTATTATTATACATGAAACATCAGTCATTAACTACCGAAACATGAAAAGAGAAAGATTGAAAATGTACAACATAGTAGAATTCCAATTGAAACATTCGCTTCTTGCATGTGAAACATTTTATTTGTTATACATGAAACATCAAGTCATTAACTACTTAAACATAAAAAGAAAAAAGAAAAAAAAAGAAAAGACTGTGTGCAATATTTGAAAATGAACTTCTAAAACATCAGATAAACTTATTGAAACATCTAAACTACACAACCGCGACATTAGAACGGATCCATTGAAAAAAACTTAGTATGTGCAATATAGTCGAATATTAGTTGAAACATTTGCTTCTCACTCGTGAAACATGGAATCTTATGTTTCAGTCATTAAAACATAGCCACATAAGATCTCGTTGTAAAGATTTAATCATAACGAATATAAAGATATAACTAGATCTTAAATTGGATAGATAGTTTTGAAGGAAAAATATTTTAAAGATCATATCCAGTTTTGTATATCCTTGCATATAAGTGCATGCATATATGTATTGAGCTGAAACTAATTATGAAGTAAATTGGCGTCCGATATTTCGGCTGTGCTCGGATGGTCGATACCCAGCATTTCCGGTTTTACTCTTATATGTCTATCGAAATATTTCATATTGTCTGTTTTTTAAATCCCAACATGCTAATCGTTCAATTAAAATAATCGATTATACCCTAATTTTGGCTATTAACAGGAGCTAGCGAGAGAGACGGGGGCGGATTCCATGGCGCCCCGCAGAGATCGAAGGGAGGGCCTGCCATGGCCGCTCCACGTACTCCCGCCCCCTCTCCGCCCTCCACTGCCTTCTACACATCCGCTCCTCCCTCTCCACTCCCCCG